TTGCGGGCGGATCGTTCGCGAAAAGCAGCGGGAAGTATTTTTTAAACTAAAAAGGCAGCTTGAATGCGTGTCTCTGACTGCAGGTGCGTTATTCCACAGACCCTTAAAAAACACTGCTCAAGTTTTCTTGACGTGGGATGGTTAAACTTACCAGTGGAAACTTTAAAATAATCAAGAGAAAAAGAATTAATGGCCAGAATTTCTTATACTTTAAAATTGGATAAGCTTTAAGCAATTCTCTTGTTCCTTTATGCGTAACAAGCTCAAGACTGATTTATGTATTTTCTTACAGTGGCTTTCAGACAGGAAGAAAAGAGCTTTACAGAAGAAAGATGTGGGTGAGTTTTCCCGTCGCAGGGTCCTCGGTAGCACTCGGCTGCACATGTACAGCACGCGCGTCCAGAGGGAGACGCTTTACTGACTGATACAAAGAAGTTACGCATAGCTCTTGTTTTAAAAACTACAAAATTAAAGCTATAAAGAGTTATGGTTAGAAGGCCATACTTCAACTTCCTACACAGCTTTATATAAATAGAATATTACCAATATTGCTTCAAATTTCAGGCATTAAATATTGGGGTTGTAGATTGCACAGAAACGTGATGGATGAATTCCATGTATAGCTTACGGTAAAGTCCAACTAGAAACTCCTCTATGTGTAGTATGCTCATGTTAGAGTGCAGGAACATCATAATTTTAGCCTGAACTTGTAATCCAAAATAAAATATGGCTATTTACATACCATAAGAAGGGTTGTATAAAAACCTCAACCAACCAAACATGCGTAGAATTAACAGGAGGATGGAATATATTATACAACATTTTAGTTGTGTAAAATGTGTGATAAATATTTGCTATTACATTATAGAATAATTTGTTACATAGTTACCCCCTCAGAATAGGCATTTATTTTGCATGGAGGTAGCCTGTATCTCAGCATTAACAGACTGTATTAATCTGCTTATAACATGCGTTAATTAAAAGATCTTTATATTTTAAAAGATCTTAAAAGATATTCCCTATATTCAATTGACTCAACGTGCTTCCATAAGAAACCATTACAGTTTTTTGGGCTGATACAATAGTGCTACCTTTAAAAAATTATTTTGTTTTCTTTTATTTCTTTATAGATATCCGTAGAAGAATTGAGCTTATTCAAGACTTTGAAATGCCCACAGTTAGCACAAAGATTAAGGTATCGAGAGATGGACAGTATATTATGGCAGTTGGTGAGTTAACAAAGTGCCTCTCTGTAGCAGAGGCCAAAAGTGCTAGAAAATCTTGATTGCAGAATGACTTAGTATTTCAGGTAGAACTGATAAGGGTTCATTTTTAAATGTAGCATTGGACAGAGTTTTGGAAGCTTACTCTTAAGATGCGATAGAGTGGCTGTCTTGGTAGTGGTATTGTGAAACACTTCTTCTTAGAATGCAGATGTTCTCAGAGTCATAGGATGGTTTGGGTTGGAAGCGACCTTTGAAGATCATCTAGTCCAATCCCCCTGCCACCGGGGGTTTATAATACAATTAAGAACTAAGTTCTTAATTATTTTCATTGTGTGTACATAAATTCGCCTTAAATAACTTCCGAGCATCATTGTTTGACTGTTGTTTTAAAGGATGGAGGATAATGCCACATTTTGTAACTGTCAAAGCAGGATCCCAACGTGAATACTTTAGTAGGCATTAATAGCATAAGGAGACTTGGTCTTTCAGACTTACTGGAAGGTATTCAATTCTGTATGATGTATCTGGTAATCAGAAGAACCTACATACAAGTAGGGTGCTTTCAGGCACCAAAGACATAAAACAGGCCATGAGGTTATGTTACTAAAAGGCGTGTTTTTTCAGTCACAGAGACTTTGGTAAGATCAGAATACTTACAGTTGAAATGCAGTAAAGCCTGTATATGCAAGACATTATATTTAAAAAAAAATGCTTTAATGGCTTTAATGTTATCTTTTTGTTTAATTTTTTTATTAAAGATCAAATTGTTTTTTCAGGAACTTATAAGCCAAGGATCCGCTGTTTTGATACCTATCAGTTATCCCAGAAATTTGAAAGATGCTTAGATTCTGAAGGTTAGTATAAGCTACAGCTGTTAGTACAAGGTATCTTTCATACATAATTCAGGTTGGACTCAAGTAGAAATTTCTCTCCCTGTGCTGAGGGGACAGAATGTACTTTGGGGAACACAGGAATCTAGAGTAAAAGGTCACCTAGTCTTTGCCTCTGTATTTTTCCCATTTCCTCCTCCTTCAAAGTTCTTTCCTCTCGGAGCGGTGTGAGGAATATAAGATTTATCTTGAGCCAGTAAGCACAAGGCTCGGAGGGTGAATGTGGCTGAAGGCTGCGCTCTGTTTGGGGAACACTGTGTGGGTGCAATGGCTGGGTAGCGGTCAGTTCTCCCTTCTTTCCTCGTCTGTGAAGCAGTAAGGTAGGAGGACGCATTGTGGTTGCACCATCGTTGCTGAAATGAGTTTTCGCTGTTTTCCCATTGGAGCCCAAACTCAGTAGGTGAGTTATAGGGTAAAGAGAATTCCCTGAGAGTGGTTTTGTTTGTTTGGTTTGGTTGTTTTCTTGGAAGCAAGATACTTAGGGATAGATGGTAGCATGGCCAAGGCCCTAATTACACCTTGTTTGCTACTAATTTGGAGTGAGAACAACTATGGTGAGGAAAGCAAGGAGCCATCTAGACAATGGGGAAGGGAGAATCTGCTGGCAGTTAGACTAGAAGAGGAGGTCAGAGCTGCTGTGGCTCTGAGTTTTAGGGTGCATAGATTTGGGGAACGGTGTGTGGGTTTTTTTGGTTTGGTTTGTTTTTTGTTAGAAGACTGATGGCTGAAAACTGGGATACGGAGGTGACCAAAGCAGTGAGGGAATAAGCATAGAGTGGCAGAAGTCCTACATCATTGCAGAAGAATGAAACTGGTCCAACTGTGATGTGTGTGAAAGTGATGTGAAAAATAAAAATTGAGAACTACTGAATTAAGTCAGGAAAAGGGGACTAGAGCATGGTAGTGTTTTTTTACCCTGTGCCTCAGGACTACAAGGAGTCACACAGGGTGAAGGGACGGTGCTACGACATAGTAAGAAGGGAGGTGGTAGGGGTTCAGAGAGGCTGGGGGGAGGAGGGTATGGCAAGAGTGAGAGCCGCTTTAGAAGAGTAGGAGCCATTGTAATAGTAAATGCTTGCTGGTAATTAAAGCTTAAAGTAAATTTTTTTGGACTGGCATCTTACTAGAGTGCAAAAGTATGTTTAATTTGAAATGTAGCATAGAGTCACTTCAGGTAATGAGCTACCTCATTTAAATGGAACCAATTTAGCTGAAGCAGCTACTCCCTAATGTACCCAACCCAGCTCATTTAAAACTAGGCAAAGTTCAATACGTTGCATTGTTCAGCATGGATAGTAGCTTTCAAATGTGTGATTTTTTTTTTTGAGCCTTAAAACTTTTTCTGTGGAAGTGCCGACCCCTTAGAAAGATCATGTGTGCAGATTTGTGCGTGGTATATCCGAACTCATGTCATTTTTTATCATCTTTGACGGATTACCAAAGGTCCATGGACCACACACTCACTGAAAACCATTTGATTAGACCTTCCCCGAGTCAATAAATACATGGTTGAGCATTGTGTTGAGGAACGTGTCAAGTATACAAGAACGATAAAAAGATTACAAGATTCTTCATATGTTTCTAAAGTTTTAGAAAACTACTTACTATTTTGCAAATAAAGTTATATAATTAAAGATTTTATCACAATGCCTGCATTATGCATTGACACCTGTGGGGAATACTTATATGACTAAAGGTTAGCATGAGTGTAAATGTTTTCAGGATTTCTGCCAATGTTTGCAAATAAGTTTGCTTACTTACTTGACTTAAAATTCTCTTGCTCTCTCCTCTAGTGGTTACGTTTGAGATTTTATCAGATGATTACTCAAAGGTATGTTTAATGTTTTCAATGTATAAATGAAGAAATTGTTTAATATGTATATTAAAATGCATTTTCATATATAGTAAAGGCAGTCAATCAACACAACTTTTGGAACAGAAAAGTTTTTTTAGAAAAGCAAACAGGATAAACATTTTTTGTGCTTTCAAAATGTTGTTTGTTTTCTTTGTCTCTTTGTATTATAATTTGCCTTATCACTTTTAAAGTATTTTGTCTGTACTAGAGAAAAACTTCAAATAATGATCTACCCTACAAACAATAATGTGAGAAATGGAATTAGTTATTCTTTCTAGGGTGACATTTAGTTACAGTCCCTTGTGATGAGTGATACACAGATACACCATTTTTGAGAGGTGGGATAGCTATAGATAATAGCCTGATTTGCCAGTGTTGTTGTAGCCATGATCATCATAAGCGTATGAATGAGGCAAAAATTGTGAAGAGAAGTAATGTCTTCCCCCTCCCCCCAAAAGTGCTGTACCTGGAGGAAACATTGAGTTCTTAGGACCATCAGCCCTTTTTCAGGCCCAATACGGTCCACTTCTAATTCTGTTTAACACCTAGAAAAGTGTTTATGTGCTTGAAAGCTCATCTGTTTTCTCCAGCTGCAGCAGTTGGTGTCATAAAAGATGTTACCTCTTTCTGTAAACTTTGCTTTGCTGATTCATCAAGGTGTTATGTTCCAGATTAAATACAAAATTTAAGCATATAATTTTGCTGGTTTCATTAGGACAAGCCTTTTTTTTTTTTAAGTGTTTATTTTAATACTTTTTTTCTGAGAAGAAACCTTAGCATTTCCCGTACAGGTTTGTTCTAATAAATATTTCTATTTGGTCAGAGACATTATCATCTAGCCTTCTAGCTTTAGTCTTTTCAAAATTTTTCCCCTGTGAGATTTCCAAGAATGTGCATTAATTCAAGTAGCAGAAGGTGGTGACTGATACAGTACAGTAGCCTCCCACTTGTCTGTCTGTGGGAGAATGTTTCTGGTTGTACAGACCAAACAGTTATTTGGGAGACTGAGGAACACATTGTGTTGGCAAATATGTTTCTGACTGGTTACGAACAGTAAGGCTTGTGCATGTTTTCAACTGAAACTGGTACTATATTTCAGAGTGAAGCCCTACTTTCACAACTTAATACAACCTTATTTTCAATTTTCTTTTCCTAAAACTTACCAAATCATTAGAAAGAAAACTAATTTCAGGTAGCTGTCATAATGTTTTGAACATGTTAGAGGGAACAATATTTGAGAAATTACACTTGAAATGCTTAGAATCATAAAAATATTGATTGGAAGGGGACCTCCAGATGTCTTTTAATGCTTGAACAGGACTGTCAAAAACTGCAAACGTGGAGGTTCCACAAATTCACTGAATAAATTGTTGCAATGGTGCACTACCTCATCATAAGGAATTTTTCCTTCCTGCCCAGGAAAATATGAAATTTTCACTGTTGCTACTGCAAAGAGTTTGACTCTTGTCATTTTTGTAACTGCACTTCAGTTGCTGGCCGCTGTTAGGTTGTCCTACACGGTGCTCTTTGCCTGACTAAACAAGCTAAGATTCTTCCAACCTTTCTTTGTACGTTTTGTGTTCTGCCCCTTGTCTGTCTTGGTAGCCCTCTTGATGCTCCCAACATCCCTCTTGAATTGGGGGGCCCAACTCATGCTTTAGTAGTGCAGGGAAAATAGCTTCTTGCCTGTCTGCTCCCGCTATCCTCCTAAGATCGCCTTTTGAGGCTTATTTGCATTTTCACAGTGCAACGCTGTTGGCTTGCATTCATACTGGTATCCATAAGGCCAGTAACATTCCTGTGCTCTCCTAAGTTTTAGACTGAAAAGTTTTAGACTTGGACTAAGTTTCAGACTTAGGAGAGAGTGGTATCTTTTTTTCCACAGCCTTTTGCAAAAAGACATGTATTTCTGCTTAGTATTTTTGCCACACACTGGTCGCTATGCTTTTGCTACCCTGAGGTTGTAGTGACCGAAATTAATTTAGCATGAAGGAAAGACAAACATGATTTACAGTGAGTTGTATCCACTGCTAATGAAAGAGGACACAAATATCTTCAAGTCCAATATTGTAGAAATTTATCGTAAAACAGAAAATTATTAGACGTAAGGCAATCATTAGCAGAATATTTGGTTGCATTTGGCAACTACCAAAAACTTGCTAAAATCTTTTTGGAGGTGGGGTGGGTGAGAAAATTCACTTTTCTCATTGAAAGCAAACTGCATCTTCTCTCTTCCTGGTAACAGGTTTTTGATGGCTTACTGGTAGTGAAGTAAGAGAATGTGATACTGGTATTTTTAAATGAAATAACGGTTTATTTTTTTGTTCTTCTCATAGTTTATTTAGCTTCTGTACTGCACAAAGATGCAGACATTTCTTCTTTAGCAATCATGAAAGAGAAAAGATTTGATCTGGGCATTGTTTCAAATAAATAAGTAAAGAGCTTTGCTTGTTGTAAACCTCTAGTTGAAAGCATAAAGGCATTAGGCACGCAAAGGATTGATTGGGATGTATATGAAAAACATCATTGTATAACATCAACTGTGCAGCTGCATCTGTAATCTCGTATGAAATCGTAGCTACGCTTCCGAAAGATGATACTCTACTTGGTCTTGGACCAAGATGAGCGAGTCCATGAATAAAAGTTGAAACACTAGGGTTTCTGATATCAGAAAAAGCATAAGCAAGGGGGGACTTAATGTTAAATAGAGGCATGAAGTACTAGTCCAGGTTAGTACTTTCTCCATGCCTCGTAAGGGAAGAATATACAGATACATAAATAAAGATGACCGATTCAAAATAACTTTTGTACCTCGCCTTTCCTGAGCTTCTCATCCTTATTTGCATTGCTAACAATGTAGTCCAGCAGTAGGAAATTTAAAATCTTCATTATCTACTACTTTTAGAAGATGCATGGACTATACTATAAACTAAACTAGCACTTTTCTAATCTGAGCTAAATAGGGGTGAGGCTCAGAGTCAAGAGTTATATGGATAATCGCAGGCTAATTTAATTGTTTGCATGCATCGTGGCATGAGTTTGGGCCAGGCCAACTGTTCCTCTATCACACAGTGCCTGGGCACGGTTTGAGGTGCAGCATGAGTGTAACGGATTGTGTGGATGATACTGTCTCTGTTGGAGCGGGAAGAATTCCCGCATATGGATATGAGTTGTACCATGTTAACTTGCCATCAGGACTATAGGGGCAGGTTCTGACTTACTTTATTTACTAGTATAGATCTAGCCTTCTAGTAATGCCTCCCTGTGGGCTCTTCCAGGACTGAGATGTTTGTCTAAGTTTCAGAAAGGAACAATGTGCTTATTCAGTTGGCAAACAACAAAAAAAATGCACAAAGGTCGTTGGTGTCATTTATTGTAACGCTGCCGTGCATCAGGATGTATAGTACACGTGCTTAGTACCTGTGAACATATTGGTGTCTGCGTGGCATTGTACCTGGAAGAAATTATTATTAACTCTAGTGTCTGAAAGAAGTACATGTTAATTTTGGTGCAGCATAACACCGAGATGACTGTACTGCTTCTGGTTGCAGAGTCACTTTCAGGGTATCGCATATACTCTTGTGAATATTCATTTATTCGTTATTAATAAAGCACTTTGCTGTGGCTAGTGAGAATGATGAGGCACTAGTAGAGTCTATCATTTTAGTAGAAATGGTTTAAATGGGTTGTGATAAACCTGTGTGAGCTTGAAAAAAATCACTGGAGTTTGTGCTGTAAGACAAGTTGAGGAGGTTGTTGTCTGCTTCTGTATGTTTCAGTTCTTTCTATTTTATTTTCAGATTGTCTTCTTGCAGTGTGACAGATTTGTGGAGTTTCATTCGCAACACGGCCATTACTACAGGACAAGAATACCAAAATTTGGTAGAGATTTTTCTTATCACTATCCATCGTGTGACCTGTATTTTGTAGGAGCAAGGTATTGATTAAGTGGATTACTTTGTTTCACTTTTGTTAGCGATGTTTTCCAAGAATAAAATTAATATTAAAATACCAGAAAAGTTAAAAATTAGAAGAAGTGGCAATTCCTTCCAAATTAATAATGGAGACAGTTTGTGGAGAGTGGAAAATGCAGGAAGACTAAGATTCATTGTTTCCTGTACTAAGACTTTTTTTCTTTGATTCTTAAGCCAGGTACATCATGTATTTGCAAATTTGTTATAAAAATTGCAATTCAGTGTACTGTTTTAAAAAGTGATTAGCATCTAAGTAAAGAATATTAAATAACTTTTTCTGTCCTGGTTGGTGTTTTGTTGCTGTTAAAGTGTGAGTCAAATCACATAAAATAATTGAGTTTGTGAGAAGACATAGTAAAAATAAAATTAGGTCTTTGGGGTTTCAAACAAAGTAAGTAGCAATTCAAGATGTAACGTAAGTCATAGGAAATTAAAAGATATTAAGAAAGGAATTAATGCCTCTTTTCCCTGGAAAAAGAGTAATTCGTAGGATATTGCAGTGTCATAAATATCTTTGGTGAACGTGCATATTTTTCTCTGTATTTTTAACACTGAAGGACAGATATGTTTTAGAATGTGAAGTCTGAAAATTGTGTATTTGGTAAAATTAGGCTGTCAGCAAGAATCTTTATAACTCCTCCTACCTTAGTATTCTAAGAGAAAGGAGTAATTTTGGATTTTTCTTTGTAGTTCTGAAGTATACAGGCTAAATCTGGAACAAGGAAGGTTTCTCAACTCCCTGCAAACTGACGCTTCGTAAGTTATCTGTAATGCATGACGTCTGTCTGTCTTCTTTCCACCAGGTGGAAGCAAACTACTAGCATGCTCACCATCGGTACTGTATCTGAATACTGCCCAAACGCATTGTAGCGTTGAAAAGGAACATATGCTGAGTCTGAGCCTCATTTTATGTTCTGTAATTCTTTGTTCTAGTTTTTGTGTTTTAATTGAGTTTTCTTTTGTGGATATTTTAAAATTGCTTAATATAAACTTGTAGTAGGTACTATATAATGTGATCTTAAGAGCATTTCATTAAAACTTTGCCATTACTGCTCAATTTATCCATCATATAGAGATCTACCCACAGGGTATATACTTTCCCAGGCATGTCTTTGTCCTTCTGCTCTTGGAGTAGCCCAAAGAGAATTTTTGTATCCCCAGCGTGTGTCTGATTCTTTTGAAAACCCTACCAGAGCAGGAGCTGGGCTTTTTTTATTGTGGGAGAGGCAGATGAGAAGAACAGACTTGACTAGATAAAGTGGCTAGTTGGTGGGCAACAGCTGCTGCTCAGTGGGTAAGATAGTTTAATGGACGAAGGAATATTTGGACAGGCATTATTACAGAAACTGAGCAGCAGCAAAAAAAACCCAGGAAAA